GCCTCTCAAAGTGCTGGGATTACAGGCATGAGCCACTGTGCCCGGCTTCCCCCTATCCTACCTACCCCCTTTCTTCTTCTCAACTTAGATGAAAGAGCGGGAAGATGCTGTGGCCCACAATCTGCTAAGAAACCTAAGTTCGAGAACAAAATTTGAGATTGACTCTTAGAATTAGATTGTGACAAAGGCATTTTAATGAGAGCAAGGAAGCAGAAAGAATCTTGTCAGTAAAATCTTTTATTTGGTTTATATTTTAAATGTAATTTTAAAAACTTATAGTCAGAAAATTTGATCACATGAAAGAAAGGAGAAACTCAGAGATAACATTCATTTAAAATAAGTCAAAAATTGGTGTTTTTTATCATGTTTCAGTTGCAGAAGACAGTGAAGGACTCAGGCTAGGTGTCTGCTGGTTTCTGTAATCTCTATAAGATCTCTTCACCTGCAAAGGACACACAGAGAATTGTTTTAATCTGGTTTTTCTCTTTAAGTTGGAGTCTCACTCTGTTGCCCAGGCTGGAGTGCAGTGGCATGCTCACAGTCACTGCAGCCTCGACCTGCTGGTCTCAGGCAATCCTTCTGCCTTAGCCTTCAAGTAACTGGAACCACAGGCATGTACATTGACTTCTTTTCTATTTTTAAATTTAAAAATATTTTACAGCTGGGCGTGGTGGCTCAAGCCTGTAATCCCAGTGCTTTGGGTGGCAGAGGTGAGAGGAGTGCCTGAGCTCAGGGGTTCAAGACCAGTCTGAGTAATATGGTAAGACCTCCTCTCTACAATAAGTCACAATAAGATTAACTAGGATGGTGGCACATGCCTGTGGTTCCAGCTGCTTGGAAGGCTGAGGCAGGAGGATCACTTGAGCCCAGTATGTTGAGGCTGAGGCACTGCCCTCCAGTCTAGGTGACAGAGTGAAATGAAACCCCGACTCAAAAAATAAAAATAAAAAATAAAATAAAGTAAAATAAAATAAAATAAATTAAAAATAAAATAACATTTTAATTTCTAAATTTTTTTGGAGGTAGGATCTTACTCTGTCACCGAGGCTGGAGTGCAGTGGCACTATCATGGCTCACCACAGCCTTGACCTGCTAGGCTCAGGTGATCCTTCTGCCTCAACCTCTGAGTAGCTAGAATTACAGGCACATGCCACCACGCCCAGCAATTTTTTTATTTATTGTAGAGAAAAGATCTCGCCAAGTTGCCCAGGCTGGTCTCGAATTCCTGGTCTCAAGCGATCCTCCCAACTCAGCTTCCCAAAGTGCTGGAATGAGAAGCATGAACCGCTGTGCCTGGCTCCATTTGCTTTACTTTAAACACTCATACTTTTTTCAAATTTCATTTGATGATTTACATCAGTATGACCTCATAGATATTTAACATTTTGGGTTATACTCTTAATACTGCCTTATTTTGTTACTCAGATTGTTCCATTATGACTATGGGGAGCTTTTTCATTGGCTCCCTTGTCCCTCTGTTTCAGTCTACTTTGAGATCAATCTTGTTATTCTTTGCTTTTTATTTCTTGATTCTCTCATTTCAGATATTTGCTTTTTTTTTTTTTTTGAGTTAGAGTCACACTCTGTTGCTCAGGCGGACTGCAATGGCATACTCACAGCCACCACAGTCTCCATCTGCTGGGCTCAGGCAATCCTTCTGCCTCAGCCTTCCAAGTAGCTGGAACTACGGGCATGCGCCACCATGCCCAGCTAATTTTTTGATTCATTGTAGAGATGAAGTCTCACCATGTTATCCAGGCTGGTCTTGAACCCGTGAGCTCAGGGAATTCTCTTGCCTCCACCTCCCAAAGTGCTGGAATTACTGGTGTGAGCCACTGCACCCAGTTTGCATTTTTTTTTTTTTGAGTTGGAGTCTCACTCTGTTGCCTAGGCTAGAGTGCAGTGGCACGACCATGGCTTATACCTACCATAGCCTCAACCTGCTGAGCTCACGTGATCCTTCTGCTTCCCAAGTAGCTGGAACTACAGACACACAACACCGCACCTGGCTATTCTTTTGATATTTTATAGAGTCAAAGTTTTGCCAAATTGCCCAGGCTGGTCTCAAACCCCTGGGCTCAGGCAATCCTCCTGCCTTGACCTCCCACAGTGCTAGGACAGCAGGCATGAGCCACCGCGCCTGGCCCATTTCTTTTTTTTTTGAGTCGGAGTCTCACTCGGTCACCCAGTCTGGAGTGCAGTGGCCCCTCCTGGCCACCACAGCCTCGACCCGCTGGGGTCTGGCGATCCTTCCGCCTCAGCCTTCCGAGTAGCAGGAATTACAGGCGCGCGCTACCACGCCCGGTTGATTTTTTGATTTATTGTAGAGATGAGG